TAGGGCCAAGAGAGCGATTCAGTCAACCAGACCCAAGTAGAAAGAGCTGAATTCCTCTCCCTACTGCTCCCTACTGCTGACTGCATTAGCTAAGACCAGGATTCAGTTGCGTAAACACAAGCACCCGTTGTTATCTGAGATACCTTCAGGGTTCCTGACGTGATGGGAGACATGACTCACAACATCCAGGAGACCTTCACCTGCAGATTAACAGCTTGCAGCCGTGTTGGACACCCTACAGCACTGGACACCTGTTTAGGCAACAGGATCACTTCCAAAATCTCCATTTATTGTAGCAAGTGCTTAAATTTGCAGGGCAAGGTTTGGTTGCCTGAACGTGGGCATGAAGCATCTGTCCTATCAGGCACTGTCCTGCCAGACCTCTGGGTACCACTCCCAAGGCTGTGGGTCTCTGATGGATCCTCTGTCATATCTGCCAGCCCCATGCGGTTGTTCTGGATGGCCAAGAGCATCTCAAGGGGCCTGAGAGCTGATGTGTGGGCAGCTGAACTGAGTCCTTCCTTTGGTTCATCTCCACTAGGCTTCTCATATCTGTGAAGAAGGAAAGCAATGTCACCATCACCGTGGGTGAGGAGATGTCCTTCATGGTTTTGCTGCACCGTGTGTGGAAGAATCACCCAGTTAATGTTGACTTCCTGGGAATCTACATTCCCCCTGAAAACCAGTTGTCTCCTGAAGCCCACGGGCTGATAGGTAAGGGCTGTGGATCGGGCAGTGGGAATGGCGGGGCACTAGGAAGGGGTTTTGCTAGATCTTTGAGTGAATTAGTTGGTGTCTGTGTCCTGATGGGGAAGGTGTGAAAATCAGTCAAATAGAAAATGGGGGAGATTCCTGTAATGTCCTGGAAGCCCCGAGGACATTGTAGAAAATCAGGGACCAAGGGATTAGGGATTTAGGACAAGAGGAAATGGGCCTAAGCTGTGCCAGGGGAGGTTTAGGTTGGAAATTAGGAAAAATTTCTTTACGGAAAGGGTGGTCAAGAATTGGAACAGGCTGCCCAGAGAGGTGGTGGAGTCCCCATCCCTGGAAGCGTTCAAAAAACGGGTAGATGTGGCACTTTGGGACATGGTTTAGTCTAGTCTACCCTTGATTGGCTTAGAGTAGACTAGGTAGTATGGGTTAATGGTTGGACTGGATGATCTTAAAGGTCTTTTCCAACCTAAACGATTCTATGATTCTATGATTATTCCTCGTCCCAGCGGGGGAGGGTGTTTTCAAAATGGGCCTGACTAGACTTGGTGACGCTGACAGGGCTTTCCCGGCCTGGCTAATCTGCTGCAGGTTGGAAATAAAAAGACTGAAACAAACCCCTCAAACCTTCTTTCTGAGAAGACTTCTGTGCAAACGCTCATAATTCAGGTCTCCCTTGAATGTCAGCCCTTTTCTGGCAATGGTATAAAACAAAAGCAAGGGCTCAGTTTATAGGGAAAACCAACCCGCTGAGCCCTGGACCCACCCAAGGCTTCTTTTAAGATGTGGGAATCCTGAGCAGCAGAGGTGGTTTTCCCAAATACTCTTCACAGCTCTGGTCTGCTTCAGTAAAAGAAGTTTTCTGGCTCAGAAGCAGAGCTTTTTCCCCTCCCAGTGTGGGTGATCTGACAGCGCTGGAGTCACGGTGCCCTGTGATCCGCACAGGCAGGGTTTGCCTGCTGCAGTTAGTTTGATTTTCCAGAAGTGCCCGGCAGCAGCTTCCATGAATGCCTCAAAGGTTAGGACACGCAACGAGCTTTAAACCTCTCTTTGATCAGGTCAGTTTGCGTCTGAACCAGAAGTGTCTATCCACCACCAAAGACCTGGGCAAGCTCCAGAGAAACCACAAGCCACCATGGAAGTGAAAGGCAACAAGCTCACTGTTACCAGGTAAGAACAACATGCTTCACTGCTCTCTTTCTAAATCTGGTTTCTTTTTAATGATGTCAATGATGGCAGACTCTCAAGAATCTCGGGGGAAAAAATCCCTCTGTTTGCCCTCTGTTAATAATCTGGTTTTAGCAGTTGGCAAAACACTTGGGACACGTTGGGTTCTTTCGTATTTGCGCATGAACAGTTCTGCCCATATAGCTGCCCAGCATCCGACAGGCCGCGTAACGGTGCCTGGGACCCCCCAAAAAGGGCCCACGAGGTCACAGAACAGTCAAATTCATTGCATTTTGTGGTTGTTTCCAATCTCTGCTGGTGGAAGACACAGATCTCACCACTTCAGCAGAGCAGCGCCATGAATGAGCAGAATTATCCACGTCTTCCTGTCTGTCTGTCATGCCGTGACCTTCATTTTGGGTGGCCTCTTCCTCACAGGGGGTTGCAGAAGGACTACAGGACGGACCGCGTGCTTGGGACTGACGTACAGTGCTGGTTTGTGCACAACAGCGGGAAAGGTTTCATAGATGGCCACTACAAAGATTACCTCGTCCCACACCTGTACAGCTTTCTGAAGAAACCCTGAATGCTCCAACATTTCTTACAAAATTTCTTATTTGCTCCTTCGTGCCCAAACAACTCTTCCGAGCGGTAGATGTCAGCCTATCAAGCCAGATCGACCAAAGGTGACTTCACCACCATTTGCTTTATAAATGATCAGTGGTTCAAAGCAATGTAACTCCCTTTTCCGTTAAAAAATGAAATCTGTAATAAAGTGACACGCTGGGTTGTAGTAGGTATCTTGCACTTCCTGTGTCTGATTTAGTGGATATTAAACCCCATTAAAAATTTCAACGGTTTTGTAATATACATTTCATAGTAGACTCGTAACAGTATTGCGGCTCCTGCAGTGGGGGTAACGCACACGACCAGATTTAACACACTTTTGCTTTTTCAGACTGCTGGGCTGGGCAAAAAGCAATGGGTCTTTTAAGCCTAGCCAGGAGGACGTGCATTAGATGCAAAGGAAATTTAACAGAAAAGGAACATGGGCTCTGGAATAGGGACCATGAGGAGTCTCCAGTCTTTAAGGATGGGTTAACCAGTGGTGAGGAACATCCTTAAAATAGCTGATGCTGCCATATTTCAGGAAAATGAATTAGATGAGTCTGAGACATCCTCTAGCCTATTTTTTTGTGAAAATTTTGATGTCACAGTGGTGTTTGCACCCAGATATATATCTGGGAAAGCAGGAAAAATTCAGACATAGAACTCACCATCAGTACTAAAAACTCCCCATCCCGTGGCATCAGCTCCCAAAAGACGCCTTACTTTTCAACAGTATTCAACAATTGATGAGATCAGTAGCGAAACAAATATACATGTGTTTGTACCTAGAGCCAGATTTAAAACTCTGCTTTCAGGGAACCTTAGGCAAAAAAATGTTGGCCAGATTCTTCTCAGCAGCCCTAATCTAGGAAGGGGACTCAAGTAATCTATTGGCCATTCTGAACTTTAGTTTCCTTCACTTGAGCACTAAAGGCTGGTACACGATCTTTCTTGCAGCCATGGTGTCGAGAGGATTAATGTGTTTTAAGTGTCTCTTCAAAATAACTCTCAGAAGCGTAAGCAACTTCCCTACAAACCACTCATTGCTACTCTGAACTAATTTATTAGCTTTGGTCTCCACAACACCCTGCAGCAGTGAGTTCCCCAGTTTAACTAGGCCCTGGGGGGGGGAGGAAAAACCTGCCAAGTGTGTTTTTAAATCCCAACATCAGTAATTCCACTGCCTGTTTCCTAGCTTGTATGCGAATACAAGCAATGAATCATCATTCTCTGTTCAACTCCACCAAATTTGTAACTTAACATGTCTATTATATTCACTTTAACTTTTCAGGCTCCAGAATTTTACGTGTAATTACTATCAGTGGTACAGAAGTGGTTCTGTTCCTTCACTTGCCCTCATTACTCTCCTACATACCTCTTCTCACTCAGTGCCTGCTCTCTGAGAAAGGGCAGAGCTGTTCACACAGTCCAGGTTGCACAAAGAGCCTGAATTTACAGACAAGCGTGTCTTCTGTCTCCAGTTCCCTTCCTCATAATTCTCCATTCTTTAGCTACTGCATTACTGCTTGACTCTGCCTTGCGCTTACGTCCGGGATCCCTGGAAAGCCGCTTGATGTCCTGCGTCAGGTTATTTCAGGCTACTCCAGACAGCAGCTGTTTCACTAAATCTCTGCAGTCTTTCAGTTTTTCCTGCAGGGGTCCCCTGAAAACCACAAATCAACCAGACAGTGAACCTCTGAGGCAAGGAAAGGGACAAGGAACAGCGAGCTTTGCCTCTAGCGACCTTGAGCTTTTAAACTCCAACATAAGCGGCGTGCACATCCCGACAGCACCCTGCCCTCCTCAGCCCTCAGCCAAGATCCCATCTGAAGTGTACAGGGGCTATTGGTTTTCTTTCCATCAGGTTCCAGAGACACACAACCTGGCCAGGGCAGGCTGACCATCAGGTGAGGGTTTGTATTTCGCCTGGGACAACTTGCCTCTTTCCTTTACACAAGTAAGGCAGCGCACCAGCTGGGCACTTCACTGCGCTCTTTGGTGGCGATAAACCAACAGACACCTCATGAATTTAAAAGGCTGATAAGAAATACACTGACCTAAGAAAGGTTTATGTTTATTCCTGAACTGCCTTAGAAATGAAACATTGTACAAAAGGCGACATTTTTTAAAAAAATAAAAAACTAATGTTACATCATTCAGCATGAGTAATGTTACTCGTGTAGCAGAGCAACAATGGAAGCATGAACAAAGGAAAAGGCTCTGGAAAAGCCAAACAGCAATCACCAATTTGTATCCACACACACTTTGGCTGGCATCCTCGAAACCCCGCAAGTAACATCCACCTCGGAGTCCACGCGAAGATTAATTGTGTATTAGTATTATTAGGAATCCTGACAAACAGGATGATGGCAGAGTGATGACTTGCATTCTACTGTCGCTAATGCACTAACCAAAAGTAAGTTGGTGACAGCACTTAGTAAACCAGACCATTCTTACAACATCCAGGAAAATAATCCCTTGCAGCACTGTTACCTTCCTGCTATTCTCTTAATCCCTTCCCTTGTTCCTGCAGCCAGAACTCAATTTTGGCTGCAGACTGAGAAGTGTGTTGTTTAAACTCCACTGCCTCTGACACACACTGCCTGCCTCAAGCAGCTATTTGTAGGTAATTCTCTCTTTCGGAACTGCTAACATTCTTCAGTAAATAAAATACTCCAGCTTGCAGCTATCTGTTATATTTTACAAAAGGAAACTGAACCAAATATTATAACTTTGATATAGAATCAGATGAAATATTTCCACTGATAAGATTTCCACAAACATTTTATGTAACAAATCCACAGTGATCTTTAAATAAATCCAGTTTGCTTGTGGTTAATTTCTATATACATTATAAATACACACACACACACAATTAAAACCCTGACATGGTAGAGTCTTGTGTCTGCCTGCAAGATGCCAGAAAGATGTTTTTGGGAACCAAAATCTTCTCTGATCCATGACTGGCACCTCAAGCGAGTTTGGAAATGTCTTCGTACTGGATATCTTCAACTCGGCGTCCTTTTAGAGGTCCCTGCAGAATAACGTAGTGTAAGAAATAAGATCAAAATACAAACTTGTTTGTTTCTTGAATTCCCAATAGGGAGCTTAAAGTAAGACAGCTAAAGGGGCTGTATGAAATCTGGCCACATTTAGACATTTTTCAAGAAGCACAACCAAGGTGACTGACACTGGAAATCACAGGCGTTAGTGTTTTTACTCAGTGCTGAGCACAGTAAAAGCACGACGACTACTTCTCTGTTTACGTGCTGTGTCCAAAAGCCACATATAACTGCACCCTAGAGGCTGTATGGCAGATGCATAGCAGAATGCATCCAAAAAACTGCAGGTTTGGGATTTGCTCACTACACAATGTTTTCTCTTTCATTATTTTCAACCAGACCAGAGAATGTGACAGGGCCTCAACGTTGTCCCAGCAATCTTTTCACTTTCAGGACACTTTTTGTGTTAGTTGAAGTCCTTGCGATTTTGGGGCAAACATAAGCAGCTGTTTTGAATTAATTCATTGTGAACTTTTAAGTAGTAAAAGATTCAATTTTGAATGCAAACTTTTTGTATATAAAAATCCTGGTCAACCTACAATCAATAAGAAAATTCTCACAGACTTCACTGGTTTCCAGGAGTAGTTTCACCCATTTTTAACTTATAGACTCAAAGAGTTCATGCAGGAAGGGGAAATCTTAACACCTACAAGCACCGGAACTAGAGAAAAACTACCCTTGCTTTCCAAGACCAAAATTATCATGATCCTGAGCTCCAACCAAAGCTCCTTCTGTGGTTAGGACATCTTGCAGAGTCTCTTCTCAAGCAAATTCCAATATGGGCTGAGTTTCTGCAGCCCTTCTTTGAATGGGATCCTAACAGGGTCTCTCTCCTGAAAGCTGTGTTTAAGAAATTTTACTTTAAGCCAACATCCTCTCTGCTGTATTGATGAGTTAAAAGATTGGTTTTGCAGAGGAGAACAAAGAAGTAGCCATGCAGACATGATGACATGGCTTAATTTTAGCCCAGAGAAAGGTGATACGTTAAAAAAAAAAAAAAAACCACAAACCCCAAACCAAAAAACCAACCATAATTGTTAACCATGAACAAGACAACAAATAAGCACATAAAGCCCCATGTTCAGTCTGGAAAAGGCAGGAGAAAATTCACCTCCTTGCATATTTCACATTTTTTACCTTCCCACAAAACAGTACAACAACAGCCACATTCAAAATAAACATACAAAATATTTTGCAAGTCTCTTTCAAGTTCAAAACTTGCTAAATTCAGCATCCTGGCATCTTTTTAAAAGCAAACAGCAGAGCGTTAGTCTGCAATGGGGAATACGTGGCTGCTTTCCTACTGGTTGGGACTAGGCAGGGGGTGACCATAGCATTTTGCACACCATAAATCCCACCTGTAAAACAGGATTAACAACACCATCTTTCTTTGTGAAAGCTCTCCAACGTACAGATAAAAAGCGCTCTATGCAAATGAGCTCTTGCAGTGTTTGATACTTACAGAGTCGATGATTATTGTCGCTGAAAACCTCTTTTCATTGATAGATTCCAAGATGCCTTTGTTTCCCCTGTAACCGCCATTTAATACCATCACTTTCTTGCCTGAAATGAGAAATAGGAAAACAGTCACACAACAGGGCTCCCAAATTCTTTTGATGGAGCCATGTTCAACTCCACCAACAGCTGAGGGAGAGGTTTCTCCCAGCAGCTCCAGCAAGCAGCACCCGGCTTTGCCTTACAGCCCGCCCATTTCCAAAGCGCACCAAAATTTACTGCTCCAGGCTACACTGACACTACGGGCAGAAACCATTGAAACGACATCAGGGCAAGAAGCCAAAATTATTTCTCGCACGTCCCATTCCCTGTGCTAACGGCTCAGTGCACCTTCTTTTTGCCTTCTGTCTCACACAGGCAGTCCCCTCGGGACATCAATCCTAGTGCAAGGGTGGGCAGAGCTCACCTACAGGAACCATTATGCTAAAGAGCACTCACAGACACCATCAACCTGCTCTTCACCAGCTGCAGAAACACATCAGGTCTGCTGAAGAAAACCTGTGAATCCCAAAATCCTGCGCCCTGTCTCCCCCTACACTGACATTGTTCTGCTTACTGCTACCCTGACTGTTCCCTGACATATTGGTCAGACACTACACACAAACACTGGTGTGTACCAGCCAAAGAAACACCAGTGAACCAAACAGGAGATGAGGTAAGCTTTGCCAAGTACCCACAGCTATTTGAGGCGTGACTTTGGAGGGAAGATACAAGACAAATATGAGCAAGGGCTCTGTAGGGCTCCCAGAGATGCTTCCTGGCAGCTGAAGAGATGCTTTCATCTCATCAAATGAACTCATTCCTAAAAGCACTTCTGCCTTCTCAGAAAAGAATCTAATTCTTACGAGAAGGGACTGTGAAGACTCAAAGCAGAAGCAATGTAATAATTCCCTAGAAAGTAACCAGAGGATATTTGGTAACTGATCAGAGTAGCTTATGAGCTGCTGTCCCAAGAGCAAGATGGCTCTTGTTATGGTACTTTCAAGTGGATGAATTATAGTTTAAAAGAACTGAAATATAAATTTTGCAGTGACAGCTAAGCTGAAAAATGAACAAAACAGCTATACCTGGTGCAGGTATTACAGTTTCCAGATGCGTCTGATCAAGCTTCAGTTTGTCTCCAGAATCAATCATCTTCACAACTGCTGTGTATTTGTCAATCACTTCCTGTTGTGAAAGGCAGAGGCCAATCGGAAAAACAAACAAAAAAATTCTCTAAATTTGCATTTAATAATTAACAAACTCAGGACCATGAGTCTGCACTTCACATTTTTAAAAGTAGCAAGGACTTCTGAGCTGTCCTAAAGGCATCCAGCTTTCACAAGCTGCTAACTGGCCCCACTCTGAAGTTAAGGCTAGATTAAAAGGGCTCTTCTTGAACATCAATGACTGGTCTAATTGACCACTAATTTTGTTGGCCTTGTCTGAAGGTTTTGTCAACCTTCGGGTTAGGTTGGAAGAGACCTTTAAGATCAAGTCCAACCATTAACCTAACACTGCCAAGTCCACCACTAAACCATGTCCCTAAGCACCACATCTACACATCTTTTAAATACCTCCAGGGGTGGGGACTCAAGCACTTCCCTGGGCAGCCTGTTCCAGTGCTTGACTACCCTTTCTCTGAAGAAATTTTTTCCTAATATCCAATCTAAACCTCCTCTGGCACAGCTTGAGCCCATTTCCTCTCATCCTGTCGCTAACTACTTGGGAGAAGAGACCAAGAGCCACCCTCACTACAACCTCCTTTCAGGTAGTTGTAAAGAGCGATAAGGTCTCCCCTCAGCCTCCTCTTCTCCAGGCTAAACAACCCCAGTTCCCTCAGCTGCTCCTCATAAGGCCTGTGCTCCAGACCCTTCACCAGCTTCGTTGCCCTTCTCTGAACACGCTCCAGCACCTCAATGTCCTTCTTGTATTGAGGGCCCAAAACTGAACACATTATTCAAGGTGCAGCCTCACCAGTGCTGAGTACAGGGGGACAATCACTTCCCCTAGTCCTGCTGGCCACACTATTTCTGATACAAAAGCTTGTATCACAAATTTAGAAATCAGCTGTTCTCTCAAAGATGGAGAGTAAATTAGAAGCTTCTTTCCCCCATGAGAGGCTAAGCTGGATGGAAGCCACACAGTGACAACTGGGATACTACCTCTCAAATGAGGCAAAACATTACTGATCATCTTTGCACCTAGCATAAACCATGTTCCACCCCTCATATTCAAAACTCAGTGGAAGACAGCCACCAGGACTCACAAACCCTCCCAGATGCCTACTAAAACCAGCTGTGATTCTGAGCTCTATACACCCATGTCAATCAAAATGCACCTGGGTGTCATCTTTGGCACTCTTGCCAGAGACTGTTGAGCCTTGGTCTACCTAATACAACACTATTTCACTGGCAGTAGCTAAAAGAAAGCACTTCCGAACAACAGAGCAAGGTTTACAGCCTGAAGATTTTGTATGCAAATGAGATCTTGTTCAAAGGCAGCTTGAAGCTTAAATATCAGTGCAAAACTGACTAGCTTCAAATTAAAATGCAATTGCACTGCTCTTGGTCGTATCACATTGACAAAGTGACTATTCTCCAAGACAGATGTGTTAATAGGGACAAACTATGCAGGACAAAACAGTGCTTAAGGATCACTGAGTAAATTACATTAAACCAACTCAGAGATTCGCGCCTGCTGCCCAGAATAAGTCCCAATATGGATTTCAGCACCTATCAGTCTTGACTTAAGGCTGAACAACTTGCAAACTGAAACAAAGCTTCATGAGTCATCTGATACCAGAAAAGCCTAGCCAATACCACATGCTTCCGTTTGCACGTTTTACCTTAACAACTGCCTTCTTCTTGTGATACTTCTCTCCAAGTTTTTTTGTTACGATTTTTACAACGATTTCCTGGAAGATTTGAAAGGAGAAAAAAAAATAAAATGCCAAAATATACAAACAACTACACAATCTGAACTAGTTGCACATTCAGGTCACTCTGACTCCAACCACATACTGTACAGCACAGCGCAGGAAGCAACAACAGTAAAGACTCGGCTTTCAGTAATTTGTCTCTATACTCAAATTATTGCCTCAAAGTAGCATCTCTCAAGACTTTTTTTTTGTTTACAAATACAGTTACACTTGAATTCAGGATATAATGTGACAGCCCACAATGGGTCAAGGGCAGGATTTCTTGATCTAGAAGTCTAGTCAAAAAGTAGAAGCTGAGATGAGGTCTTTCAGCTCAAAGGCTGATGGTGACTTCTACATCTCTGTGCGATTCAACTACCATGCAGAAAGAAGAGGGCTGTAAGTAATATCATGATTTAAACACCATTTGTAGAGACTCACACCACCAACTCTTTAATTAGAGAATTCCACCTCATCTGAGATCAGGCATTGATCTGAAGCATCTGATGCTTCAGACTACAGATCATGCTCAACCAGAAGACTAATTCCTCCCAGATACTGTAATATTTCACATTTGGCAGCTTGGAAAATAACAGTGAATTTAGTTTGGAATCTACTTTTAGATCTTTACACAAATCAATAGCAGCTTTAGAGATGCAGAATTCGTTGTATTTGGTATAACAATAATTTTTAAGGCACTTACAGGCTGCAACCAGTAGTCTCTTCGAGATGTTCTTTTCTTCTCCTCTTCAAGCTACAGAACAACAAGAAATAATCACCATTTACTTCCTCCTTTCACTGTAGCTTTCCCATGCCTTTGAAAAGCTGAACCAATTCTCCAGGCCCACATCAAGTGGGGAATAAAAAAAAGAAAAAAAAACCTAAATAAGGTCAGTGTGTGCTTGTTGCATAAAAATCAATCTGATGAGATCCAGGAATCCATGATAAAATGATGGATATTTATATTTGGTTTTTGTCAAGTGTTTCTAGATATTTTCTTCTCTTCCAAAATCTGTATTCCTTTACTTCCAACATCTCAGTCGTCTGGGGAATAGGCACAGATGAGCAGCAGAAACCAGTTTTAATGGGGAAGTGAGATCATTTTGCCTGGTAAGATAGGACAGTCTGAATTCCACAAGAACTGAAGGTCTGAGGTCACTTCAAAGGGACGCCCTGGTAAAGCGGACATTGCCATAGGCATGGGGTTACAAAGACACAGACCCTGCATGATTATTACCTCCATAATCTCATCCAGTGCAGATTTCTTCTTTTTCTCTTTGGACTGACCAGAGCTATGAGCTGATTCTTTTCTTTTAACTGCCCCTTCCACCATCTTCAGTGCATTCGGTCCAAGGACACTGCTGGAAGAGTAAGATGGTGTTTTCACAGCAGACTTTACATTGTTTCCTCTACCAAGATGCATTTGAAGAACCGGCTGTGCAAAAAGGCCTGCTGATCTACGTAATTTCAGTTGTGCAAGTCACCTTCCAGACCCTGCATGCCTCCTTCTCTAGGACTGCATTTGGCAGCTAGAACTGATCTCCTTGAGGGGTAAACTCCATGTCCACTGATTTTTGCTGCTAGCAGTCCAGCAGAATGAAAACAACCTAACAATCAGTTCACCAGTGCAAAAGCAAAGAGTTGATCGGGGACTTGAGTTCAATGGAGAAGACAAAAGCAGGTCTGCAAATAAGGTTTTCAAATTCAAAAGCACAAACTCATGGCTTTAGAGAGCCCACCTGGACAGGGCAACTCTCAAACATAGTAGATGTCTAGAACTCCTTGAAGACAGAGATACTTAACCTACCCATCAATGGGAAAAAACACATGGGAATCTGTAGAAAAGGGCTCCACACACAGCAAATAAACACCATCTTCACAATCATACTCAAAATAGGCAAACAGCCTACGAGTTATGACAGAAAAGAGCAATCAGCACGAAAAGTTACACTGGGGATCAGGGAACATCTAGGTAAAGTGAGAACTGCCTAAAGGCATCTTGAGTTAAGTCATTTTTATAAAAAGACATTTGAATGCAGTAAAAAAAATGTAGGTGTTCTCTCATCCAGAAAGATGAAGAAGGCTGCTGTGAGGTGGACAGTAAGGTAATATTAATATGGCTTTACAACAAATCATGTTCTGCCTGTGGTGAGGATGTTGGATATACTAGCAAAGGGGATACACAATGGGAATGAAGATACAGAAATGACAGTAGAATCAAAATTGAGAGAAAAACTGCATTTCAGAGGAAGTCTGGATAATCTCCATAGCAGAGTTCTAGAAGAAATGGCACATTAAATCACAAATCAAATAGCAAGTACTTAAAATAACATCACATAAAGGGTAACACACAATTAAAACGTAACAACTGCAGTGCCTATATTTAAGAAGGAAAACATATCTAGCTGTGAGGTTACTAAGGGATTCCTGGGTGTCAATACTAAACCAAATCTTACTTAACATATTCATTAATGACCCTGGGACAAAGAGCGAGAGACCACCAACGCTGTTTGGGTGTGCCGTCAATATGGAGGATGCAAGAAAGAATTGGACACCAGAAGGGACTGGTTTATCTTGAAAGCCATGTTTTAAAAACCACAAAATTCAACAGCACGTTATGCAAGCTCACATACTTTGGAAAAGTTTACTCTGATTACCTTCTATCTACTGGGAGCTGTTTAAGAACAACAAAAGCAGACAGGGATCTGGCTATAATCACAGATGACAGCTACCAGTGTGGACCAGTCATGAAAGAGTCAGGTGCAATCCTAGGAAGCATCAGGACAGACAAGCATTAGTGCCCTCTGTAAGCCATGGTGACGTTTCATTTGCAGCATGCAAAAATTCGATCAGCTTCCCTGTTCAAGGTCAGCTGAAACTGGAAGAAGGACAAGGGAGGGACATTCAGCAGATCAGGGGAGTGGGGAGGTGAGGCCAGCACCATTGCACAGCACAGTGAAGGCCAAGAGGCTAAAACTGTTCTCTACAAACACATTGTCTGAGAAAGCAAACACCAGGGAGAAAAAGAACTATTTACGTTAAATGCCCATACCAACATGAGAGCAGCTGGTATAAACTGGCCATGACTACATTTACATGGGAAATTACAGACAAGGTCCTAACCATCAGAGGAAACAGGTTTTGAAGGATCTTCCCTTGGGATTATAGGGTTAGGGAGACCCTAACTGTCTACAGTGGTGGCTGATGAGAGTGCGGTCAGGACTGTACACTGGTACACTCGCAGTACTGCAGGCAGGAGTCAGTGACCTTGATAATAGCTTCTGCTCATTCCTTAATTAGAAGTAATTCTAATCTTACTTGTCCACCGAGTGAGTTAAGCAGGGATTTGAGGATGTAAGCTCCTAAGGGAAAAATGTAAGCCCAGGGCTCCCAGTTTGCTCAAGGGCAGTCAGCATCAGAAGCCGTGCCCGCAGTGGCAGCCCTGACTCCCAGCTTCATGTCAGCCACACAGACGTTCAAGGGAAGGCCTCCACCTCCCCTCTCACTCCCCTTCTCAGCAAGGCTCCAACTCCATCTCTGTACCCAACTACCAGTATCCCCATGCCCTCAAAATTCTACCATCCGCTACCTACGATCTCCTGTTCCCATTTCTGCACCCCGCTCAGGAAATACAAGTGCCAGGTTTCTGTAGTTTGTGCTGTGAGCATAGAAGGTTGGAAGCCAGGAAGTCCCACCACACGCTGCGCTGGCGTACTGGACATCAGGTTGACCTCAACTGATCCTCAGTAACAGCCAACAGCTGCAGAACACACCTCTACGCTGACACAGGGAAGCAGTTTCCACATATGACTCTAAAATGATTCCTTTATCACCAGTGACATATAAACCACTGTCTGGTCACTTTACTATGAAGTGGGTATCCTAATTTTGCTTCTACGCACCATTACAAAGTTTACAGACAAGTATCTCTCACATGCTATGAAAAAATTAGACTACTCAATACATGATTTCACATTCAGGCAAATTTTAGTAAGCAGGTTAAGTGTTCCTCACTGAAACTATTCAAGTGAGTGTCTGAATTAAGTTTCAGGCTCATCTTAAGCACAACTCAGTGCTTAGGGATAATTTACAAGTTTTCCTCAAAGCCTGAAATCTGTATCTATTATTCTGAAGAACTACTTCATTGTCTCATTTTCTGCCTGGCATATCTCCCATCAGATACCTTAGATCTAAAAGCTGAGCTTGCGATGAGAAGAAAGCTTTCATTTTACCTGCAATACGTTTAATTACAATATTGCCTCACATGAAAAGATGTACTGCTCACCAAACAGTTTCACAGAATGCTGTAAGTCAGTATTGTTTGCATTATTGATCCTTTTTGTCCTGCATTGCTCATGGTTATATGATGACAATTAAATTCACGAGCTTTAGAAAGATTGACATCAGGTACATTCAGCTTCTTACATGATGATCAAAGAAAGTATCACCTCCAATTAGACAAGGCAATCAAACCTTTTAGGAACCAAATTAACAAGTCATGAATACCCATTCATAGAAGGCAGCTGGGACTAGATGGCATTCACTTCAAATGCTTTGACTGGATCCCTTGTCCACCCTTTCACGTAACAGTATCTTCACAGAGGAACCTGTAACTGCCTATTACTTTATGGGCATCTGCCATGAACCACAGTGAATTCAAGAAGGCTCTGCACAGCACACACTTCAGACATACCCATTCATCCATTTTAAATACAAGAAGAACCATGAAGTCACCTAGTATCCCCTCCTGAATAACACAATAGGAAGAGATATTAGACTCCAGACATTTCAGGACAAGATACATCTTCCTGCCCATACAAATATCATTGTCACATAAGTGCTTTGCAACAGTAAGGGTTGCCCTTAAATTCTTTTCTCACCTTGTTTTAGAAGATGCTGCTATTGAAGTACTTGCTCCTTTGTTTAAATTAAATGTAACTAAAAAATAAAAAGACATTACTCTATTTCTATCTTTAAAAATAACTGTATTGAAGGATGTTACAATTTTAAAAATCTGCAAATGGAAAAGATCATAAATATGAAAATATCAACTAATCTATGTTTTGGTTCAGCTTTTGAAATAAATTACTTTAAACTTTGTAAGAAATAATACTCTGTATTTCCATATTCCAGTGCTCTTTATAACTGATCTCAAAGCACTTTATGAAGCACCAAGCAGGCCTCGGCGCTCATCTCGTTTTAATCACAAAATCAGCTTCAGTAGGTTCTAGAAAATTACATATATCAAAATCTGGTTACCTTTTTCTTCTTCGTTTTCTCTGTTCAGTTCAGTATAGACTGGCTTTTCCTGCCAAAGAATGACAAAACACATTTCAAGAGTCAAACTGAAAACTGAGCCAAGATACCGTGTTTTGGTGATCATTGATTAGCTCAGTTTTACAGACTACTGCGAGATTATTACAAGTAACTGTAATATTCAACCTGGCTTGATTCATAGAAGATTATAAATTGAAAACATTATCTCATTACGGGCTCCTGTGCAAAATTCTCTAATTAACGTTCTCTACACAGATGCTGTCTAAACTTGCTTGATTCCGCCATGAAAGGAAAGTAGCCTTACCGTAGCAGTTTTTTCTATTTGAACCAGCAGGACTAGACTGGTTTCTGGACAGACAACTCAGAAAAGGAAACTCTGGAATCTTTCCAAATTTTCAGCACCGAAGGCTCAGACCATTTAAATTTCAATTAGTTTTAAATTAAGAAAAAGATAATTGTTTACAACAGCATTTACATGTACCTATCAATACCCAGGATCTAATGGGAGGTTCCAGTCCCAGGCAATAACGTGTATGGAAGTCATGGAATGATGCCAAATAAACAGATCCCAAATACCACACCAGCTCTATCAAAACAAAACTTTTCACTATGTGGATTTGATTATGTCAGCACCCCCCTGGTTGTTCATCTCAGCCTCCCCACTGTACAAGGTACTTGTTATTTGCAACTCTAAAGTTGTGAAATACCATAAATGAAGACACGTCATGCTGGTTACTGTATTGTTTACTCTCCTTTCCTAAATTCAAGAGTGGTTTTTAAATCACTAATCACTTGAAGAGCAGTAATTATTACTCCTTTAGTACTAAAGCAAGCCAGGTACAAAGTAACTCCAAGTTTTCCTCCAGAGCAGGTTATAATCTAAGATAACTGTATAGCAGAAAATTCAGAACACAAGGGAGCTGATGTGGTGATTCAAGTATGGAAGAAGACAGTCTAAATCACAGTCTGAAATGGCTAGGATCAGACACTAGGGCCACAAGACACAATTCTAATAGATTTCAAAATCACATCAAATCTAAAAGCAGCTGCAACCTCTGCTTTCTTGTCTTTATTTATTTTTTGAAACTTTGATTCCATAGAGGACCTTGATGTTCATCAAGCTGTAAAAACCACCAGCAAGTCGGTTAGTCAAGGAAATGTAACAAGCTGCAGTTTCAAATGAAACAATTTAGTTAAGGCTGCTATCAGAAGTATCTGGGAGAAGACTATTCCTTGTGGCTTAGAAAAGAAGAGCAATGCAGCCAAATATGCCCACTGTTCCCCAGTCTGAACTGGTGATGAGCTTGTTACCTGAAGCATGAAGCTTACTCATCACCTTGTACCTGACCACAAAGGAAATACCAGTGCAAGGCTCCCAGCAGCATCGAATGCACCATTAACTTAACCAAGAGGAGTTTTGAGCTGAAGGTTGACATACAGTGTGATTTTTCTCACCAGTTCTTTCCCCTCCAAACCTCTTCTAACTTGTTGTTCAATGAATTTAGCAGTTTTTTCTTCATCATCAAGGTCCTGTTTCTTCTTCCTCTCTTGTTCTTGTTGCCTGCGAATAGTCTCTGGGTCCCTATCAATATATTGAATATACCAGCCTTTTGGAGTCTCATCAACCTTGCAAAGACCTAAAAAGTCAATGAAAGATAAAGGAAGATTAATACTCACCAAACCAAGCAAGGGACAAAGAAAATATCAAGATAATTTTCACAGTCCATATACACTATAACAACGCAGATACGCTAGCAGAGACAATGCGCCCCTTACTGGCCTGGTAAAATTGAATTATCTTTAGTATCTGTTTCTGCCCTTCGGCTAGCCAGTTCTACTTGGAAATAGGCCAGAGTACATAATAAAGTGGAGTGTTTTATAATACTTTCCTTATTGAACAAAATGTTTCCTTCCCACTGTTTTAACAAAGAAGAAAACAGAAATCTAACATATATAAACAATACACATTAATAGCATCATACTAAAGGAAACTTTACTGTGCTATGCTATTGTTACTAACTCTTGCTAGAGTAACTTTTCAAGCACTATATGAATCATGAACGTATCCTGTCGGACACAGGCAATGAGAGCCAAAGTAAACTTTCTGTCATAGCACAGTGCCATTTAAGCTCTCTTCCTCCCACTGAACGCAAAACTGCAGATCTCAAGCTTAACCCTTTCACTAGGCCAGGAATGAAAACAACTGCTCACCTCTTGTCACCTTAAATATGGAAGGATTCTGTAGTCATAAGAAATGTTCTATCATAGTTTTTAATTTTTAAATGGCAACTGTTGGAAGTCAATTTAGAATTTAGCAATGCCTCTCATAAATATAGACCAGCAGTTGAAACAAGGAAAGTTTCATGATTGATGCATTTATCCCAGAGTTCTGGCATTTTTCATAAGCAAATTCCTAATGGTTAGCACAGAAATATGTTTGGACATCTGTTAATATATATACAGGAGGGGAGGGGAAGAAAGAAAAAGGAAATGGGAGAACTAACATAAATGTTTACTGATCACTTATCAGCAATGCAATTACCCAATAATTTTAAAACTTCCCAACACTGAGCCACTACATTTACCTTCTCTCCCCAGCCATTTAGTAAAATCGGTCAGTGTCTCCCACTGTGTGGCATTCATGTGGATGTGTTCTCGATGACTGATATATTCATTGTACACAATATTATTGTGGACTCTCTTTGTTCCTGAAATACAGAATTATTATTATTATTATTAAATATACATATGGGACCTAGGAGAAAGCAATCAAGAAGTCTTGCACTGAACTAATAACAGACATTAAAAACAAACAAACAAGCAAACAGACAGTAAATATTTACCAAATCGCCTCCTGAGCAGCTCTAGGAAATCATTTCGGAACTCCCTCAGGGGATAAAAAGAAAGTATTTTAGTAAAACTTTAACAATTACAAAGCAATTATCTATTGCTACTAACAATGAAATATCTGCAGTATAAAAATGTGTATTCTTTTGAACTGAGCATAATGAAATTCAGACACTCATTTCCCTTGTTCAGTAAAGAAGCATTAAATGCAGTATGTATGCACAAAGAAACACAATACGGCACCTGCACACACAAATTAAATCTTCAAAATGATAATACCCTTTCCAAAGGGATAAAATGGAAAGAACGAAACCTAAACACTTCCCACTAATTGCTGGTATTTCATTACCAGGTATCTTCCCAGGCTGACTGACACAAAACACACGGCAGGACAAAGGGCAGCAGTGGTAGATGGGGTAGATTGATCACTCATCTCGCTGCTAATTCAAGGGCTTGAGTATAAAGCTTTGCTTCAGACTCATGCTGAAGACAGCTCCAGTCAACCCAGCTGTCACATAGGTCAGCTGGACAAAGGACTGGGGGAAACTGTGCAACATTAGTCACATCCCTGACTCGTTATCTCTCTGTAACAGTTCTTTTAGCAATTTGTAACTCTGCGTGTGCAGCAGTCGCTTAGCTGGGGCAGAACGGTGACATACTTTGTAACATAGAGCAACTTAAAACGGGGCTCAGACCCGGGATAAAAGTGTCCAATTTGATTAAACACCAGGGCTCCCTGACACCTCTTACACGTGTTCAAAAGTGACATTGCCTAAATTTTCAAATTGCCGTTAAAAAAAGAGCTGACACTAAAATGTATCAGAATAAAGTGTCTTCAATGGGACACGACTGGGCCTTAGTCGTACGGTTGTGCAGATCTGATACGGGAATGAAGATCTGGGCAAGAACATAAGAGAAAACTTACTCAGAAAAGTAATCCATGAATTGCTGAGGATTTTCAGAAGCCAGCAGCAATTGCCTCTGGTGGGACTCAGACATGCAATGACATTTGAAGCCATTCTATAAAACAAAAATAAATACGTTGTCTGTCTCAATTTGCAACACTCTCACAACTGAAGAGTATTAAAAATAACATTTTATAAGTTAATTTTCTGGGAGGCTCCACAGAAATCACCTTAACTCAGCCATAGCCTACATGGGGTGGTTGTTCCTCCTGACAGGGCAAGCCAGAAACAAAACTACTCCTGATGGCAAGAGCCTTAAGACAAACTGTGGAAGGGGTTACGAGACAGGGCATGCCAGCAGCCCTCTTTGTCCCCTGTGGAATGGGACAGACGTGGCACCACCTGGGTCCACCCCGGACCCATCCAGGTGTGAGAGCACTGGAAATGTTTGCTGGCTCCCAACCTGACCAACACTGAGGCCACACGGGTGTACGGAGGGGACAGTGTCCTGGCAGCGCTCAAGCTACGGACTTTGATAGTTTGGCTAACTCTGGCATAGGGCTGAAGTCATCAGAGCTCCCCAAAAAGCACCCAGGCATCTGACATTTGACCGTATCCTTTTTTGTGTCTAATATAATGCTCTTTCATCACAATATGACTAAATCTACAGCAAATTTCATTCCATGGGAGCCCCATCCCCCCTTACACAGTGAATCTTTTTTGCTTGTAGTCACTGGGAAGAGAATAGGATTTGAGCTTCTTGGGTGAAAGGGAGAGGGGGGCAGAAACAGCTGAAGAATGTGACAATTAAACATCCACAGGATGCCTTACTTCTCTAAGGCATATTAAAGAGGCTGTTCATGGAGAATGGAAAACTAAAAGCACAGGTAGTCCAAGAGAAGGTACTTTTGGAGCACAACTCTGGTGGAAATCAGGAAGAAGACGACACTCACATCCCACAGGTATCTGGGTCCAAGTAAATAGACAAGTGAAAAGAAGAGGGGGAAGCTTCAGAGAAAAAGCATCTCTTTGTAACAGGAGAAGGGAAGAAACAGCCAGAATCAGAAGGAAGGAGTCCGCAGCACAGGAAAGACATGGACCCGTTGGAGCGGGTCCAGACAAGGGCCACAAAAATGATCAGAGGAAATAATCCTATTGAGGATCCTATTTCCTGTGAGGAAAGGCTGAGAGAGTTGGGGTTGTTCAGCCTAGAGAAGAGAAAGCTCTGGGGAGACCATATTGCAGTCTTTCAGTACGTAAAGGGGGCCTATAGGAAGGATGGGGACAGACTTTTTAGCAGCACCTGTAGCAACAGGACAAGGAGTAATGGTTTTAAACTAAAAGAGGGGAGATCTAGAGTAGATGTAAGGAAGAAATTTTTTACGCTGAGGGTGGTGAAACACTGGCACAGGTTGCCCAGAGAGGTGGTGGATGCCCCATCCCTGGAAACACTCAAGGTCAGGTTGGACGGGGCTCTGAGCAACCGATCTGGTTAAAGCTGTCCCTGCTCACTGCAGGGGGGTTGGGCTAGATGACCTCTAAAGGTCCCTTCCAACCCAAAGCATTCTATGAGTCTATGAAAAGAGACCTCACAGTGCTCCACAAGCACCCTCTTGGGCATGTCGCTGCACCCACCCTGTCCCCAACGGAAATCATGGCAACCCTCAACTCCCCTCTGAGGCGGACGCGAGCTACCCAATTCTTAACCCCATCAACTTCTCAAGGTGTGTATGAGGGAATCACCCCTCCAGGGGGTTTGGGCCACCCTATGAGTCTATGAAAAGAGACCTCACAGTGCTCCACAAGCACCCTCTTGGGCATGTCGCTGCACCCACCCTGTCCCCAACGGAAATCATGGCAACCCTCAACTCCCCTCTGAGGCGGACGCGAGCTACCCAATTCTTAACCCCATCAACTTCTCAAGGTGTGTATGAGGGAATCACCCCTCCAGGGGGTTTGGGCCACCCTGTGCTCCCTCTCCCCCTGGGCTGATCAGCCACTCTGTAGAAGATTGAACGTCCCCAAAGATGGACCAGGACCAACACACTTTCTCCACAGTGCATTAGGTCTCCTCCCACGGGGGATCCCAATACGATTGCCCCACCCCCAGTGACTGGGAATCCTCCAGGTCCCACCCATCTGCCCCCAAGAAGACCATGGTCCATACAAGAGGGACTGAGGACCCCCGAAAGAAAATAAGGGCCCTCTCCAATGCTCCCCTAAAGAGAGTCAGGGCTCCCCGTGCTCCCAGCAAGCGAGGCCAGGATGCCACCTAGAAGGATCGCACCCCATAGATAGGATCAGAGCCCCCTCAAGGAGACTGGGGACACTTACAAGGGGAAACCGAGGCAGCCCTGGAACCCCCACAAGGGGCTGGGGAACTCCCGAG